CTTTCTGTTAACAGTCAGCCAGATCTGGTTGAGTGTGTAAGACTGCTATAAATGGTGTCCGAACTACGCTCATTTCTTGGCAAATGGGCTTTTCGAATTTTACCAGTGTGTAATATAAATGTATACCAGTTTCATTAAGAAGGTCCTAGAAAAATGCGTGTCACCCCTTAGACAGATAGCTCTGGCATGCATAATTTATTAACTAACCGACTATTAAGTGAGTTTGACTATGTTCACAATAAATTGTCAATCATATGGAAACCTTCATAATAGCTGAAAAAATGGTTAATAAATCTAGGGTACAGTCTTATATTAGCAAGGAGTGTGAAAAGCTAAACTATGTTGTAACACCTATCTAGGACTTAATCCAATCTTAACTAGCTGTAGTACAAGTTTACAATTTACTTAGGCTTTTCTTAAAGTTTTTGGGTGAGATTTCATAACGAATACAACTAAGCGTTACAAAAGAACAAGCACAGATATTAATTTAATTAAAGCTTATTCCACCTCATCAATGGGAAGGTTAAACTCAAAATATTACAAAACAAAGTTACCAGTCATCTGAACCAGGCGATGGACACAGTTTACCTTTAAATTTCCTGCAAATACAGTAACTTATTATCTTCTACTAGAATTACAGTTTACGAGTGATTACTGACATTTACCCAAAATCTGAACTCAACAAGTCTATCTTGAAATTTTACTATTCTAAGAGGCAGCAGCTATTCGCCAAGTAACAAGCTGTATGGCAAGTAGCCGACGTTAATCAATACTCTCATACGGTTACGATCTACTATTCTAACTTTAAAATAAAATATTTTCCACTCAAATCTGCATTATTTTTTGAATGACACAGGCCGTGATGAAATGAAGAAGTAACAAAAATATAAATTAAAAATCATTGATTGATGAAACTCAAATATAATGCCACAATTTTAGTTTTATGCATTTTCCATATGGGTTTCACTTTGCTGTGTAAAATTATTTTATATTATAATAGATAAATCTAATCTAATTATGTTATAATAGATACTTTAAACTGCGATTAAAAGTACAAAATTATAAGATGATTGATCTATCGATATAAAATGTCTTAAAATGCTATGGAATTTTCTGCGTGTCTGGTTAGTAATTTTGTATTTTATATACCGCATTTCCTCGCGTAATTCTTTCTTTTCTTAAACTTATTTTATAGTCCGAAAATCGAAAGGGAAAAATTATTTGAATATTTTAATTTCCGAAAAATGCAATTGTAGTAACAACATAAAAAATAAAAAGTAGTCATGAATAATGGTAACTATAGAGGAAATACTTTTTAAAAGAAACCTATGTTCCAATAAGAATACATAGCAATATTAAAATTACAATGTCTGACGAATATTGAGCCGATATTTTGACGATAACTAAGCCGGGCGATTTATCTGGCTTATTAACTTGATGGACATCGGTGGAACGAAGAAGAAGAGTAGCCCAAAAAAAGACACAGATTTACATAAGATCGAAGGCATCGGCAATAGATAAGACTATAATAAACTAGAACGTAAGTAAAAGAAGTAAGGCGAAATCACATGTTTGGAAAATTTTTTAAGTGTGAAAACAACTGCCACGTCTGGATAAGTTAATGAAGAATAAGCACAAAATACATTTCAAATAATAAAAGCAAAGGACAATAAAATGGATGAAATTCATTCTTATACAAAAAAGAAAATGCATACTGAATAAAAATAATAAAAGGAATACAATTTGCCAATAAACTAACCCTCAGAGGGAAAACGCTGTGTACAATAAAAGAAGGGAAAATCGTGCGAATACTTTTAATATTTTCAGAACCTAGCGGCTAAAAAGCTAGGAGGATATTCTAGGAAATATGGTAATACTGAAACAAAGCCTAAAACATACCGAAAGCAAAGCAGAAGTATGCAAGCATATTTTAAAAAGCAACTAAAATAAGAAAGGCTTCATGGCATTAGAGGAAAATATTTATGTTTCTTAAAAATCACAATTCGAACTTGCGTTATCGTACTTTCCCACGAAACATTACGATAATGTCCCATAAAATTTTCATAAATGGACTCTAGTGCTTCAAGTGACAAACATAACTAACATAGTTTTTCTGTTCACGATGACATGTATTGCATCTAAAAGCTCCATTTGACAAGCTTCCATTTTTTCCTTTGTACGCGTGTATCATTCTTTTAGAAATGCTCCAACGCGTTGTTGAAGATTCAGTTCCGAAATATAGATAACAGGGCTTGAAGAATGTCGTTATAAACTGCTGCTTTTTAGTCTTATCTCTCGTATGACATTTTTATGAATATGGATATTATGATTGGATGTCTAAGAGCTGTTTAAGAGTTTTCATCATTTTTTTAAATGTTATTCTCTCCAAGCAGTTTTCGGGATGCTGAATGAAGAGTAACCTTCCATGAAAAAAATTAAGTGTTATGAAAACGTTTTTTAAAATATTTATATTTCGCTATTTTATCATATACATATTCGCTTATTTTATTTATATTCTAAGTATTTGTTTATCAGTGCTGATATTGAAGTTTTATAGAATATTTTTAATACAACACATGAAGGATTTTAAAAAATGTGGTTTAATTGTTCAAATTCGGAGAAGTTCTAAATTCAAAGAAGATTGGTGGGGTTTCAAATTCGAAGAAGATGTTTAAGAAAATAACTTATCTTGGAGGGTATTCTGCTTATCGATGAAGATGCATGTTATCACAGATTAAAAATACTGTGAGTCAATATGCATATAATATTAAGTTTTTCGAAGGACGAAACATGGAAAATCAGTTCTGCCGTAGCCAGGATTCGAACCACGGATCTTCCAATCGCTAGCAATACCTGCTAACACCGACAGCACGCGCAGGGAATCTGATGATTTCGTGCAAGTTTAAGCCTAATATTATGTACATTCACTAGAAAGAAATTATTATAAGGCATTAAAGGCATTAAAGATGCTGCTCACATAATTAAACAACTTTCGCTATCTCTCAAATACGGAAGGTTCCGAGCTTTCTTTGGCTTGCAGATTTTAAGCTGTCAAGGGTACAAGTGGCGAAATGGTTAGACGTGAATACGTATACGTCGAACGGATGTCGGAAATGAAGATTTTTGTGCCAGTGGACAGGATGAAATGTGATGATCGATGTCTCTCGTACTATTCGCTGTAAGCAGCGCATCTAGTCGATTATGGTATGGTATGCTTGGTTAGTAAGTCGAGATACTTATTCCATAATATGCCGACATGAGCTTTTATTCATCTTATGCTGGGAAGCCCCGCTTTTGATGAAGATAGTTAAACTTTTGACTTACTTGACTATGGAGCGATTAGCAAATGTTCCATTAGCTCTCTCAGTACTGCAGTAACTGTCTCATGCGTCGATGATAGCCAGTATTTCACTTCTGGTATCAAACTGATAGAAGTTGGAAACTGATACTTTAGTTCCTGATCTATCTTCTGGCAACTGATATTATGTCTTACAAAGGATTAATAGTGAGGTGCTGAAAGGAATGTCACGAAGAAATCCTTCTCCAAGATTAACATTTGCAAATAATTAACCTTTCAAAAAAGTCGTATTTTCTGTTATTCAAAGTTTGTGAATTATCAAACTCTGCTTTCTTTTGCACTGTTGTACATTATAGTTTCTGATTTTTTATAGCATTCGTTGATGCTAAGCGAAATACTTTTATGATTATTAGAAGAAATTAATGCTATTAATGAAATTAATGCAAACTGCTTTATTAGTAATTCTTTATTTGTAATTTATTATAATTTAAATCTTATTTATTTATTATAATTCTTTATTAGTAATTTATTATAATTAAATTTTATTTATTTATTATAATTCTTCATTAACATTAGGTCATGCTTTATTAATAATTCTTTCACCAAACTGTGATTGTATTGCATTCTTTACAATACTTTTAAAAATAAAGAAGAGTATAGTACCTGGTTCTATGTTTCCAAAAAAGAAAAATGATGCCACTGTTGCTTTTGAGAAGTAATGGAAGTGGTTCACTTCGAAAGCATTTTTGTCTTTAAATACCTCTTCGAGCTAATTTGACATATAACAGTAAGGTACATCAAACGTTTAATTATTTGCAAGCGCAAAGTGTAACAGCACTTCGCAAATATTGTTTTGGTTTATCTAATGCTGCTGTTTGTGCTACAACGTTTTATGACTATGTTAAATTAATTTTTGCTGTATTCTCCTCTGCTTAAAGTAAATTTTGTTCGCAACGTTTCCCCCTTCTTTTTCATGTTTCCTTTAACTTTAGTCAAGAAATCATCTGAAAATACCTAAGCTATTTTATCATTATACCTATTATTCAGTTGAACTGTAACACCTTCTATGGGCTCCAAATAACTTAGATAGGTTAATACAATAACAATAACGCTTATGCTATAATACATACGTTATAACTCTTAAGGGTTATTCTACCTCACCACTTTTGAGTGATTAAATTGAAATATACAAACATAAATTTACCAGCCGACCAGGACCTAGTTTAAATTCAAAGCTTTCTTTCAAATGGATACAAATTCAGCAGTTTAAATCTAATTTAATTAGAAACTATAAGCTTGCATAGATTTCGGCAGAAATTCAAACATGCACTTAACCAAAACAGGTTTTAACCTCAACAGCAAGACCAGCATTAGCGTAGCCAACTGACTGCTTTAAATCGCCAAGGCAGAAGACCGCAGGTCAAACTTTCATACTCCAGTTCGTAAATCTCTAAACTTTATTGTAAAACTGCTTGCCACTAAATTCTACATAAAATCTTCAAGGAGCAAACTTCTCGGAAAAAAAGAGACAAAAAGGAAAGAATTAAATTAAATAAGATTTTATCAATAAAACTTAAACATAAATGTCGCAGAACATGATAAATTATTTGCATACATCTTCTAGCAACTATTTCCATTCTTTCTTTTTATATACAAAGATATTTATATTTATTTATTATTGTTCGTAAATACATATAATCTTATTCTAATTTTTTAGATGATATCAACAACATGCGAATCTTTTATGTTCTCAGTCCCGGTGAGAATGCCACCAGTGATATTATGCATTTCAAGGTGGTCGATAAAGGTAAGTTGTTAACATATCATTAGTTTTGAAAGCATTGTCAAATTTGAAATTTAAAGTTCTGTGAATTATTTAGAATGAAAATATCGTAAAAAATTGAAGTGTTGATGTTTATTTATAAGTTATCAAGTATAGTACATGCGATGCATTATATTCGCTTCAGAGAAATGCAGATAACTTTACCGGTTTTTTACTGTATGGTAAATTTTTTAGAGTTAATATTTCATTCAGATGTAATAAAATTATATTTTCGGCTTTTATCGAATTTCCTGTACGCTTCTTAATACAATTCTGAAGATATTATTCTATTTGTTATTAATTAATATAAATCACAGATTTTTTCTCCTGCTATGAAAGATTACTTAATGTTAATAGGCATTATTTTGTTTCAAAAACGCTTGAAATATATGATAATGTTGGAATAAAACGGTGTTAGTCAGTATCACAATATTCAAATTTACAAGCAATATGTTTATTATGAACGCTTATATCCATTCACATAACTGAAATACTTAATTATGCGGACGTAAAGCTTGTTTTCGTTGTTATGTACCTGGAAATCACAAACAAAATTTTCTGTCTTTAAGCTTAAAAATTATAGTTCATAATAGAGTACTATCTAAAGGAAAATACAATGTTCTTTGTATGATCACAGTACTTTTTAGTCAATAAATGGCCAAGACTTTTAATTCAGTATTGATTTTCTGCTTAAAAACTAGCTGAGTTGCATATTTAGGATTATATAATTATTAACATAAGCTGTAATTTTTAGGCTATGCATGCTTTTTCTATGTATAATTAATCCCAAGCGGAATTAAATTCAAAACCTGGAAATATTTAGATTATTAATTAGCATGTGGTAGACGTGGAACAATTTTTTAAATTAAGATCCATGCCCAGTTACATAAAATTCTTCTATGCATATTTATGCTAATAGTAGTTTAGCGAATACTTTTTATTCAGTTTAAAGTTTCTATATAAATTAGAAAGAAAACATTTAAATTCTATATTCTCTGATGTAAAGAAAGTTATCAACATATTAAAAATTTGTATTAGGCGTAAATTTTGCATTTGCTTGAATTACGCAGAAAGAAACTAACTAACTAATTAACTAACAAACATTAAAGCCTATTCCGCTAGTAATCACTCCAAGAAAACCAGAAGACATTTGTTATAAACATGCAGCAATATTTGTCCTGACCTAAATCTAAAAATATCTGAGGTTAAGTTAGTGTTTATGATATTAAAATTTATAAAATCAGAATTTATTAAGTCTGTGAATTTGAATTAAGGATTATTAATGAATTAAGGGTATCTGAGACACGAAACTTCAAGGAATACGTTCAGCGCCAGAACAAAAAAGGGATTCTGATTTTAATCGCAGCAATAATCTTTAGTTCTCTTTAAAACAAAATGAGCATTTCCAGAATATTTTCATTCCCCTTCTCCACAGATATTTTCTAGCGAGAGATATCTAATTTGTTTCTTGTCTGACATCCCGATAAACCCGTAACTGTCTGCCAACAAGAAGTCCTTTGAAGACCCCTCGTATGTCAGAGCAAGAGAAAGAAACTTCAGCATTGCCTGACGGTCATACATCATCATCGCAGTTGCTTTTTTAAACACTTGTTGGAAATCGAGTTGCATAAAAGACATGTAAGCTTGCTAATGACACCAAGCGACAGAAAAAATCATTACGAAGCACATTGCTATGCGGCTTAATTTGTAACCTAGTTAATTATTGGAACGTGTGTAATCAAAGCAAAGGTCTGTTCGTTTTAGCCTTGCTGGTTAAAATTTCATATTCAGTTCCATACCCTACATACCGCTACCAGGAATGAAAAAAAAGGCACAATTGAAAAATTTGCAATTTATTTAGCCCAAAGTGGCATTAGTCCAGAAGGGCTATTAGTCTGGAAATGGTATTTTGCGTTGAATCACTTTAAATATCCGAATCGCTATTCAAGTCGTTGCCACCAAATATTATCGCCTTGTGTTATATTTAAAGAAAATAAATAATGAAAAATCTCCATGAATGTATGTATATTTCTCGCATTGTGAAAAAACAACGGTATTTAGAGTCATTTTAAATAACGTAGTCCTCCACATGAACATCGGCAACTGGAAGTCCGAATTTGGAATTTATTTTATTGTCTATTTCATATTTGTATAAGTGTTTAACAAATATTCGATTAAAAAACTAAAGAATTTCAAAGCGAGCAGTGGCAACACTGTAGGTAAAAAAAAATTTTATCTCCACCGTGCGAGACTGTCTATTGGAAATTCTAAAGATATGCAGTTTTTAAATATGTTTAGCCCAAAAAGTGGCGCTAGCCCAAATGCTCTCGAAGCGTGTATGTGTCTGTAAATGGAAAAAACTCCCGTTTGGTTGTAATATAAAATCTGAAAGCTTTCAAATTTTATTTTCAGCTGCTGTTTTTCAATAATGAAGTATTTCAAATGAAAATTTTGAGACTTTTTGCCAAACTTTAGTTTACGGATTGCTTTGAATTTCTTCCCAGTTAGCGCACCGCAGGGCACTTATACAGTAAATAGCACAAACACGACAGGATATACATCTAAAGAAGAAAAAAAAAATTAAGTAAATAAATAAATAAATAAAAAACCTTAAATTAGAACATATTACGATGTAAATAGAAAAGAGAGGAATTTCTTTAATTTATACTAGGAATTTAATATAACTATTTCAAATTAATTTCTCTAATCTATATATTTCTCGATACTCTTAATTTAATGACTGCTGACAGCGGAATTTAAATGTAAAACATTGGAATGTTTTTTTCAGTATTCTGTCGCGAATATGTCTTGGACTAGAAAGTTCCTTTGTTGACTTTCGTATTGACTTCTTTAAAATTTCTAGTGTGCTCTTATTTTAAGAGGCTAATGTGCTTCGTTTTTAAAAAATACTTCACATTAATTACTTTATTAGATGGCAAAAGTTTGCATTTTTGTTAGCATTCCCAACAATAAAGACTGCCTGTTTTCTTTTAAATGAGCGCAACAGGCATCACCGAGCAAGGTAATGCTCCATTTTTGAGCTACACAAAGAGGATCGAAATGTCTGGATGAGCACTGTTCATTGAATTGTAGCATAATTGTGGTATAATTTTAAAGTGTGTAGCTATCATTGTGTTTTTATTTTGTGCATTCGTAAATATTTTTCTATATATATATAAAACGTAACTGTTATTTGAGAAAGATATCGTATATCAATTGAAACATCTTAATCGGAGCTATGCGGTAATGTACGTAAAGATCCAATGGCAGCCTACGTCTTGGCAGTTAAATTTTAATGCACCCATTTTTCGCGAATTGTACCTGTAAACGTGTTATCAAGGGTGTACGGTGTTACATCACATTTAGACATCGTAACAGTTGCACTCTACAGATTTCTCTATTGTATTAAAAATAATGCTTTGGCTGTCTTTTCGGATTGTAAGCGAAAATGTAATTGTACATTAAAATATACAAAGCTGACTAAAAATATTCATTACAATTCAAGAACTGAACTTAACCTAAGAACTGAACTAATTTACCCTTATTCATGTGTAAAGTCTGTGCTTAAACTTCAGAAGCTTTGCATACAATCCACATATCGATTACAGCAAAACAAATATCTCTTAAATGCTGGTTGAGGTATTTCATAAGTAACACTTGCCAAATTGGCTTATAGCTCAAAGTACCGCTGCATCCAGTTGTATCATGATGATCCATATGGTTCCCATTAAATATGCATGAATATTTCTTGCTAACCATATGATTAAGCAACTGAGGAGAAATTTGATTTGCGGTTGTGTTTCTTAGAAATCACATGAGTGAATCCATCACCTTTTCAATGGTGATATTACTCTTTAGATATTCGAACTGAAAATCTTTCTGAATTGGAAGCTGGAAGTTTCATGTTTATATCTCGTCTAAGCAAAACTCTGTGACAAATATAGGCTATATTGAATTGAAAAACTTGAGTTCATAAGGTCTCAGATTTATTGTGTGGCAATTAGCAAATTCCGTGTATTCAGAATGCAATAATTCTCATGTCATTTACACTCTTAGCTAAAACTATGCGTATAAAAATAAGGCATTTTTATTTGAAGAATGCTGGCTAACAGAAAGACCTCATCGGCTTTTGGTTTTTCTATATTTAAATAACCTAAGCGATTACCTAATTTATTGGGAACCGACGTTTAACTTGAGATGGAGAATGGATTGCAACGTATAATGAAGATAATTGTAGTGATATTTGATGATCATCTAAGCCATGATGCTGTTTTGATAAGCTCCTAGGGAGCAAAATTTTTAATGATAACCAAGAAGCGTGATTTCACAGTTACTGAAGTGAAACTTCTGGGAGATGTCCAGGGCCTTTCGTTGCGATATCCCTGATGCGTGAATAGTTAGAAAAGATATTACTTTGCTTACAAATAAACAACTTCCTAATGCAATGTGAAGAATGCTTTTATGACAAAGTTAAGAGACATGAAGTAACGAAAAGCTTTCATAGAACTAAATTAAGCAATTTCCAACTTTTCTAAGTAGTACAATACGCTAAAATTTGGTTCTTTAATCATTATGTACACTGCGGGAAAAAAAATGGGACAGTTCTATATCTCCCGTTCTACTGGACCGATTGACTAAATTAAACTTGCGTTTTCCATCTCTCGAAAGCTCGACTTAGATTTATATATAGCATTATTAGATTTATATATAGCACTGTTTTATTATAGGTATTTTGACACAAAATCGGACTTTTTCTGGAATGACATATGCCAATTAGTTTCCATATTTCGATTCTGGCACTCAAATTATGCCAAACTGTCAAGTTATGCAAAAATCGCCCGAGTAGTTTTTTAAAAATTAGCTCACAAAATTTTAGCTTCTAAATGTTAATTAAATTTGATATATATTTGTTAATATCTCCGTTTTTATTAAACCTACTTGAATTCTTCTTCCATAATTTTAATTTAGGCTTAATCCAAATATAA